TTCTCTCAACTGTTACTGTTACCAACGTGGTTTTGAGCAATGCTCTTCTGTATATTATAATTATAAATATTTAAATAAAGTTATAGTTCTGTGCAATTCTGATACTCCCAACAAAACCACACCGTCACTATACACACAGTGCCCATAAAATTCGTCGTCTCTGAAACATTGTCGCTGATAACATTATCGATGATTTCCAAGTAACCCAGCAAAAGTCCGGCGAAAACTGACCCAAGCGAAATTCGATTCTCGACCGAAGAGAATCCTCCACCTACTCGCCACCATCCCCGACTCCTCCACCCGGGTGAGATACAAAAATTCCTCCGGCAAATATATACATACATTTCGTTATCTGAATTATTCATCGCGTGGCGGTAATTCCGGATCCCCTCGAAACGCACGAGGCCGAGCGGTGCTTAATTCAAGAGACACGTTTTGGCTCCCCGAGTGGGTCGTTAGTCGGATGCATCACGTGCGCGGATTTAAAGGGCGGATCCGCACGTAGGTGCGGCCGGTTAGATTGCGCCGCGAGACAGAGAATCGCGCAGAGAGAGGAGAGACGTTTGTAGAAGGGACGACGAGAAGACAGGGAAGAGGTACCACTGCTCCTCGATCGCCGCGAAACGATTACAAGAGCTTCCCTGATTATTCCTACCAATGGTGCCATCTTTCTTCCAGCGGTGTGTGGTAGAGAATGTCTCGCGTAGATCCCAGAGTACAGAGAAGGTGAAAACGTTCGTTTGTCTGGCTGGAGCGAAATCGCGGATCCAATTTCATTCAGCCTGGTTCGCCCTTCCACAAGCATATTTACAGGCACCTCGATGCACTCCAATGGCGTTTTAATCTGGCAAATGCATTCCATGCACTCTGTCTCTCTTTCCTGTACTCTCTACCAGAACCTCTAGCTCATCCCATATTTTCTGTCTTTTTTTTCGAGGCGAGAACTTTTTCCATCGAGCCCCCGGTCCGTCTCTCGTCAAAGTCGATTCGTTTAGGGGAAAAAGGTGGTATTTTTGGAAGTGAACACCCTCGCATATTTTCGCTGAATTCATCGCTGGGGATTATTAACGCGCTCTTTTACTGCGAATCCTTGACTAACGAGGGAACATGCCGTGGTAAGCGCCGATATTGACGAAACGGCGGTGTGTGATGGTGCTGAAAAAGATACTCGAGGATCGTCCACGTTGAAGGTGTGAAAATGGCTCTTTTGAGGGTGGAAAGATGTGATTATTATTGAAACGAAGGGGTTTGAGTGTAACTCGGTATCTCGTAAGTGACGAGGAACACTTTGAACGACACTAGAAGATTTTAGATAACGGGTTGTGTGGTGCCGGTAGCAAAGCATTTAGCTCTACCTTGATCTGCTCTCAAAGAGTTAAACTCGTTCCCATGTTTTAACATATTGTGCTATTTCGATTTGTATCTTCATTGCGTTACTCCGTTTCCCCTGTTATACTCTGTGCAACAAAATTCGTCGAGCTCTACGTATAACAATGTATCAAGCTTCGATAATGTTTTTAATCGAAACTAAAAACTTCATCTTCTCACTTCTCCCGAATAACAGTTCATAAAGGAAAACGAAATGTCTAAAATAAAAAAAAATCTCAGTACGTAAATCAAATATTTCTGCATCCAGGAATTTGCATCTCACCTCGTATCAAAGCCCAAAATTTTGCAAATGTGTAGTATCGTAATTTTGGGAAAGAG